CCCAGTGCCTTGGTGGCTTACAGCTCACTCTTTCAGCTTCCTGTTGGTGGATTCAGCTTCATACAATAGAAACCACTCTAATGAATTTAAGCAGAAATATTACCAGATACAAAGTGGCTACAGAATTATTTGAGGGCTGTAAGAACTGGCTAAGATGAGCTTCCAAGAATTCGCCCAGCCCCTGAGGTCAGAGAAACCTAAGCCATGAGACCGACCTGCAGGCCCTGGCTGATCCAGACCCCGGGCCCATCATGGCAGAGGCAGGAGGGGAAAGAACTCCAGCCTCATGGTTCAGGAGGATTCAAAATGGAAGCCAGGTGCCCACAGACCCGGCAGCGACCACCATGGAGTCATCCCTTCACTCACTCCCTTCACATCTCCCGCGGTGCAGCCAGCTTGCGCGTGCTCTGCATAGTGACAATGGCAAGCAGTCTGAATGACGGGTCAGACTCCCTTTGATGGAGAAGTGACGAAGAGGGTATCAGGAGGAGAACCGGATGTGCGGAGCCCTGTGGCTGAAGTGGAAGTAACGAGGCAGCGACACTGGGGGATGGGGAGGGACCCCACAAGCAGGGCCAGATGGGCCCCATTAGGGACTTTTGCCTTCCCCTAAGGGAAAAGGGAAGCCATGGAAAGGGATTTTAGGTGGGAGAATGACCATGATCAGACAAGCGTTTAAAAGTTGCTGTACACTTTTTAAAAACATCCCATGCTTTATTTCTTTCTTGAAGGACTGCAAGGCTGGGGAGGGGCAAAACAGATATAGGGAGAGCAGTTGTGGAGCCTTTGCAGCAGTAGTGTAGGTAAGAAGAATTCAGCCCAGCCAGTGTGGCTCAGTGGTTGAGCGCAGACCCATGCACCAAGAGGTCACCATGCACATGCCCAGGTTGTGGGCCCAATCCCCAGTTGGGGGCATGCAGGAGGCAGCTAATGGATGTTCTCTCTCATCAATGTTTCTATCTCTCCCTCTCCCTTCCTCTCTCTAAAACTCAGTAAAGAAAAAAAAAAAGAAAAAGAAATAAGAACTCAGACAGAGGATGGGGTGGTAGTAAAGAAGAGAAAGAAACAGGTCAAAGGTATTTGGAGAAGAAAAAAGACAATAGGAGAAAGGAGAGCAGTTTTGTTATTTTCTCTCTACTCTAGGTCACTTCAAACTCTATTTTCACTTCTAGACTTGGTTTTATTTTCCCATATTTGTCTTTTCATCTTATGATTTCTTTTTTTTCTTTTTTTTTTTTTATCCTCACCCGAGGAAATTTTTCCATTTTTTGTACAGATAGAGTGGGAGGGAGAGAGAGGAAGAGAGAGAGAGAGAAACATCGATGTGAAGGGACACATCGAGTGGCTGCCACCCGCACGACCAACCAGGGCCTGGGACAAACTGCAACCAAAGTACGTGCCCTTAGCGGGAACCGAACCCGGGTCTCTCCGGACCACAGGTCGACGCTCTAACCGCTGAGCCAAACTGGCCAGGGCTCATCTTATGATTTCTGATACAAGAAAATCAAAGGGAGTAGATTTCTTTAAGCAAAGTCACATAACAATATGGATATGCTTACATATAGCCCATCCCAAAGACTCTGAGTGGTACAAACTCTATCATACACAGTGCCACAGGAGCATGCATTTTGCAGACAAGCGTGTATTAGCTATATGACCCCTGACAAGCTATTTCACCTTTCTAAGCTTCTATAAAATGGGGATAAAAATAGTACCTAACCAGGTGGGTCGCCCTAAGAATTAAATGAGACAATCCATAAAAGGCCATTAGTATAGAGCCTGGCATAATGAAAATGCTCAGTGGATGTAACTAGTATTGTAGCTCATAGCCTTGAGCGGGCCATGCTCCCGGCTGCGGACTGATGCTCCTGCAGACCTCGCCGCCCGCTCTGCGCGCTGCACAGGCTGTTACTGTCGGCCCGACTCGAGCACAGACCACAAGGGCTCCGAAAAGGTGGTTCAACATATTGATTTTAGTTTTGCCTGTTTTGTCTCAAAGCCAGGTTCTGCCTCTGGGACTGTGCGGGACCTGGTGGAGAAGGACTGCGTGGTGGGGAGGATGGGAGCAGAGGGGGCTGAGCACGGCCGGGGAAGCGGGGAAATAGAATTGCGGATTTCTGTCTCTGTCGGGTGATTTCGGTAGACGTGGTTGTGGCCATTTTGTTGTGGGGCTCGGATCTGTTTTCTTATTCCTCACTCAGTTATTGAGCATTTGTCACGTGCCAAGCAGTGTCACAGGTACCAGGATGCAGCCGTGAACAAAGTCCCAGCTTCCAGGAAGTTAAATTTTGGATGGCTTATCTCTCTTGCCAGCAAATTTTATTCTCCTGGAAGTCCTAGTTGGCCCCAACTTCTTCCTTCCTGATAGGAATGAAAGGAACCAATGGGACACATTGCCTGCTCTCCATCCATATTGAAAAGAAAGTCCTACTGTTTGGAGTTGGGTCCTTGCTCCTTGCAGAGGAACTCAGTTCGTATTTTGGAAGGGAGAAGAATAATAGGGAAGTTAATAACCCCAATGAACATTCCTCCCATGAATCCTCAAAGTATCCATATGAGTGATATATTGCTGTCACAGGTGAAGAAACTGAGGCTAAGAGGTGGGACTCCAGATTTTGACTTGACATCTCATGCTTTCTTTCTTTTATAAATTGGACATTATTTGCTCGTTTGCAAACAAATAATTTAATGACACTAGCCTGGTTGGCAGTTGACTTGCTGTTGGTAGTTAGAATTTCTGGTTAATAGACTTTATAGTGAGTATACTTTCAGATAGACTAATCTTCATGACACGTGACATAGCTTAGTGGTTTCCAAATGCTAGTCCACGGACCAGTGATGGTGTATGACAAAGTTGTCACCAATCTCAGCAAAATACAAAATGAAGTAAATTGAGGTAATTATCTGTCTTTCCAACATTCTACTATGGAATGATAGTGTGAGTAGGAGGTAGTTAGGTTTTTGTTTGTTGTGTTAAAATGTTGTTTTATACAATAAAAAGTTGGCAAGGCTATGTCTGTCACATTTTGTTGTTGTTGTTGTTAAGATTTATTGTTTGGTAAATTCTAAAGGCTTGGGAAACCTGATACAGGTAACTAAATGAAAAATAGAAGTTCTGTTTCTGGCAATATGGAATACTAGATATTTTTAAAAAAATCCTTCTGGTGCAATGCACCTAAAAAAGAATGTAAAATTGGAAAAATTATATATTAAAAAAAAATGAACAGTTGTATTGGCAAGAAAGGAAAATTCCTAGAGGCCAAAAATGATAAGAAAACACAAGTCAGAAAAAAACTACATTTTGGAGAAAAAAGACAAATCTCCAGGTGAGCGAGGAGAGAAGCTGGCTCACGGACCCTTGCTCTAAACTGCTGCTCCCCGAAGACGGCAGCCTTGGTGAAAAGAGAAAATAGGAAAAAAAGTTCCTCTCAAAGAGAGCCCAGTAAATACACTGCCTATCATAGCCTTGGGATACCAGGAAGGATAAATGTCTCCTAGAAATTCATAACCATGAATCACTCTCACTGGATTTAAGGCTGAACTTCCCTTTACTAATATGAGCTGAAAAATCCCAAGTTGAGAATTCAAAATAGTCTGAGTGCGGTAAGGCTCACATATCTTCTGTGAAGGCATGCACCTTGATTTCAGGCCTCAAATAATTCCTACAGATATAATTCCAGTTAACATGGACTCACAATTAAAAATCACAGAATACCTGAAGAAATAAGATGTCATGGGAAGAAATCAAGAGAAACATCAAGAAGCAGAATCAGAACTTGAAAAACTTCAGATTCTAGAAATGTTGGATACAAAATATAAAATAAAAAAGTATTGAAAAATATAAGAAAATAACCAAGAATATTTTTTAAGAGAACCAATTAGAGCTTGTAAAATAAAACGTATAACCACTGGCATTTAGAAATTTTAGTTACACAGATGAAAAGAGAACAAATAAATTTGAAGACAGATATGAAATAATTACTCTGAAAGTAAAGGGGGACAGACAAAATATGGGAGATAAGTTAAAAGAAAGAGAAGATAAAGTAAGAAGGTAAAATATACATTGAATTGGAATTACAGAAAGTAATAATAGAAATAGATAAAGGAATCAATGCACTTCCAAAGTTATAATGAATGAAAAATTTCCAGAATTGATGAAATACAGAAATCCTTATGAATATCAGGCATGATAAATAAGCAAGCCACACCTTGATACATCATATAGAAATTATAGAGTATCAAAGATAAACAGATCTTTAAAGAAGCTACAGAGAAAAGAAAAATGACCTATAAAGGGATAATAATAAACTGATAGCTGAATTCTTAATACCATCAGTGGAAATTAAAGGAGAAATATACATTCAAAGTCTTTCACTGAAAAACAGTTAGCAAGCCAAATGTAGTATGTAAAGAATTACATCTGCCCTGGCCGGTTTGGCTCAGCGGTTAGAGCATCAGCCTGTGGTCCACAGAGACCCGGTTTCGGTTTCCACTAAGGGCAAGTACCACGGTTGCAGTTTGTCCTGGGCCCTGGTTGGGTTGTGTGGGTGGCAGCCACTCGATGTGTCCCTTTCATGTTGATGTTTCTCTCTCTCTCCCTCCTACTCTATCTGAACAAAAAAATGCAAAAATGTCCTCGGGTGAGGATTAAAACAAACAAAAAAAGATTTACATCTCCAAAAGTCCTAAATTTTATTATCTTTAAGAAAACACCTTTTCACCTGTAACTGGAATGAATTGGCCCACAAACTTGAAATTTAAAATATGTCCCTCTGTTTTTCCAATTAGTCACTTGATTGCTTACATGTCCTACGTGCCTCATTATCATGCAACTCAGCATCTTCTTCTGAGAGTTCTCATGCTCCTTATATTAAACTGTCTAAAAACATTGTGCACTTACTCTAAAGCCTGCTTAGTCTACACTCATGTTACCAGGGATACTACTCAATGGCTCTCACAGAAAAGAGATCTCAAGGTGATTATTTTCTCCTCTCTTACAGACTTTGTGTCTCTCCAGAATTCACATGTTGAACCCTTATCCCAGTATGATAGTATTTGGAGGTGAGGTGTTTGGGAGGTAAGTAGGCCATAGGATGGAGCTCTCATCAATGGGATTAATACTCTTATTTATAAAAGAGACCCCACAGGGCTTTCTTGTCCCTTCCACCATGTGAGGTCACCATGGAAAGACAGTCATCTATGAACCAGAAAGTGGTCTCTCACCAGACACTGAATCTTCCAATGCCTTGACCTTGAACTTCCCAGCCTTCAGAACTGTGAGAAATACATTTTTGGTGTTTGTAATCCACCCAGTTTATAGTATGTTGTTATAGCAGCCCAAACAAAGATATTCTTCAAAGCCATTTAGGTGTTCTTACTTATCTTTCACAATCCACTTTCAGGAACTGACCCCACATAGGCAGAATTTACTTATATCACAACATAGCTGTCAACTTCTCTTGCTAAAGGAGAATAAAACTTACAAGATCAATCTTTTATGGGGCAATTCTGTTGGGCAAACTACTACAACTAAAATACCCTAACAGGTTTTGACCTGTGAGTTCCAGGTTTGCTTGTGTGAAATTCTCACTCCTTGCTTATTTCTAAGTGGGGAAAATATTTCTAATGGGATATGATTCCCAGTGAAATGATATTAACAAATATTGTGAGGTAGAACACAGACAAATCCTAATATATAATCAGTGGATATCAAACTTGTTTTCCCTTCCTGGAAAATACATCTGATTCTTGACATGAATATTATGTTGGAGAAAAGCCACTACGCTTCTCTTCATTCAGAACACTAACATATATTACAAAATCTGAAAGTAAATCCAGTATAACCAAACCACATTCATTCACAGCAAACATTAAAAAATCAGCTGTGGCTGGTGTGTGTGTGTGTGTGTGTGTGAGTGTGTGTGCACGCAGTTGTGTGTGTTTATATGCAATACATCGACATTAATAGCTATCAAAATACTTTCCTTGTGATCAACTCCAAGGAAATAAAAACCTGATACAAAATCTAACCACTTGCAAATGAGCATTTATAAGATACTAAGATTTTAAAGAAAATAAATTACTCATTGAAGAGTGCCTATACTACACTCTCATTTTTTAATATGTGTTATTTTACATTTATGTTGATTCAGTTTTATTTTAATTTTAATGAATTTATTGGAGTGTCATTGGTTAATAAAATTATATAGGTTTCAGGTATATAATTCTGCAATACATCACCTGTATATTGTACTGTGTGTTCACCAATCCAAGTCAAGTCTCTTTCCATCACCATTTATCCTCCCTCTACTCTCTTCCACATCCCCCACTCCCCTTTTCCTCTGCTAATCACCATTGTGTTGTCTGTGTCTATAAGGGGTTTTTACCCAGGCCCCCAATGCCCCTCCCCTCTGACAGTGTCAGTCTGTTCTCTGTATCTATGAGTCTCTCTATTTTGTGTGTTAGTTTATTTTGTTCATTAGATTCCACATACAAGTGAAATCATATGGTATTTGTCTTTCTCTGACTGGCTTATTTTACTTAGCACAATACTCTCCAGGTCCATTCGTGCTGTTGCAAATGGTAAGATTTCCTTCTTATTTATGATTGAGAGTATTCCATGGTGTAAATGTACCACAGCTTTTTTTATTTTTAATCCTCACCCGAGGACATTTTTCCATTTTTTGTTCAGACAGAGTGGGAGGGAGAGAGAGGAAGAGAGAGAGAGAGAGAGAACCATCGGCGTGAAAGGAACACATCTAGTGGCTGCCACCCACATGACCACCCGGGGTCAAACTGCAACTGAGGTACACGCCCTTAGAGGGAACCAAACCGGGGTCTCTCTGGACCACAGGCCAAAGCTTACTGCTGAGCCAAACTGGCCAGGGCTGTACCACAGCTTTTTTATCTACTCATCTACTGGTGAGCACTTGGGCTGCTTCCAAATCTTGGCTATTGTAAATAACACTGCAATGAACATGGAGGTGCACATATTCTTTTGAATTAGTGTTTCAGTTTTCTTCAGATATAGTTCCAGAAGTGAGATCACTGGCTCATAAGGCAGTTCCATTTATGGTTTTTTGAGGAAACTCCATACAGTACTGTTTTCCACAGTGGCCACACCAATCTGCATTCCCACTAACAGTACATGAGGGTTCCATTTTCTCCACATCCTTGCCAATACTTGTTTGTTGATTGATTGATGATAGCCATTCTGACAGGTATGAGGTAATATTTTATTGTGGTTTTAATTTGCATTTTTTTTATTATTAGTGATGTTTAGCATCTTTTCATACATCTATCGATCATTTGTATGTCCTCTTTGGAGAAGTGTCTATTAGAGTCTTTATCCATTTTTTAATTGGATTGTTTGATTTTTTGGTGTTGAGTTGTATATGTTCTTTATAAATTTTGGATATTAACCACTTATCAGATGTATCTTTGGTGAATATGTTCTCCCATTCAGTGGGTTGTTTTTTCATTTGTTGGTGGTTTCCTTTGCTGTGCAAAGTGGAACCTCGGTTCTCAAACTTAATTCATTCTGTTTGAAGGCTGTTTGAAAATGGAATCATTTTTTCCCATTAGAAATAATGCAAAGTGAATTTATCTGTTCCAAAACCCCAAATGATTCCCCATTTTAACCTTTCTTATCTACAGTACATGTCTAATATATTGTTTAACCTATAAGTAGACATTTTAAAAACAAAAAGGACATAAAATATAAATGAAAATTTAACAAAAAGGCAATCAAATATACAGTAAAAAAAAATTTAATAATAATAAGTAGCAACAAAAGCAAAAAACACAAAAATATTCACAGCACAATTTCCTGAGATGTTAACAACATGAGGTTTAGCGGTAAACTGACTCATACTAGCACATTCTCTCCTTTGTCGCTTAAGAAATGCATGACTGGTTATACAGGTATCAGCACGAAAGGGTTGTTGGGTTGAGAAGCAAATTGTTTGAGAGGTGAGATATTTGAGAACCGAGGTTTGACTGTAGTCCCACTTGTTTATTTTTTCTTTTGTTTCCCTTGCCTGTGGAGGTATATCAGAAAAAATATTGCTACAAGGAATGTCCGAGATTTTACTGCCTATGTTTCTTCTAGGTTTTTTATGGTTTGGAGTCTTAACATTTAGATCGCTATCCATTTTGAGTTTATTTTTGTGTTTGGTGTAAGAAGGTGGTCTGGTTTCACTGTTTTGCACATATATATGCATGTTGACTCATTTTTAAAAAGACCTTACTATTTACTAAGTGTAGCCAAAGAGCTCTGAATCCTTGATCTAATTTTTTAAAGGCATGATAACACTAGGACTTTAAAAATCCTGTAAAATTTATGCCTTTTAAGAAATAAAAGGAGTCACTTTTATTCCAAGGTACCATTTTAATTTAAATGTTTGAAACATTTATTGCCAATATATGCTCTTTATTTTTAAAAGTGCAAACAATACTGAAGTATGTAAAGTAAAACCTGAAAGTTCCCTACAACCCTGACCCACCCCATTCCCCGCAGAAGCCACTGTGGCCAGTGCTTGTTCCTATTCCAGATCTAGGTTTATTACAGCCACTTGCTCTTGCACCTAACACCACAGCTGGGAGCCGCCTTAACATCAGCCTGTTCAGGGACACCTTACTGTTTCATAGTATTTCACAGAACCAGTGTATAAAATATTTCCTTATTGATGGACATTTTGTTTGTTTTCAATGTTTGATATATGGAAACAAAATAGAAGTGACTGAATTTTGTACACACACCTCTGCACATGTGTGAGAACATTTCTCTAAGCTGGATTTCTAGGAATTGAACGAACATGTTCAAATGTAGAACATGTTTTATATTTTACTACACTGTGTTCATTTAAAAAAATTTTCCCTGAGTCCTTCATTAGTTTAAGGTAGCTATATTTTATTTAGTTTATTTTAAACATGGTTTACAGAAGCCCCTCTAAACTGAGCAACCATGGCAGAAAGAAAGAAGGCTCACCTGGAAAAGCCATACAGTACACACTCATTCCAACGTCCCCAAGAAAATGAGTCAAAAGAAACAAGTATATCGAAGTAAGAAAAAAAATGGTGCTAGGTGTTCAGAACTACATGAAAAAAAAAATTAAAGCCGTAGTCTTAAATGATGCAGGTAGAATGTGCCATTCATACATGGATCCTTATCTCCTAAATACACAGTCCTGTCATATGGCAGTATTTTTAATATTCAATTTCTTACAAGTTTCACATATTTCATGACTGAAGCTCGCATATTTCTCACAAAGATTTATGCTCCCCAAGATTAGAGACGAATGTTTTGGAACAAAGAGTGCTTCCCATACATCTGCCCTCAACTGCCCGACTCTCCTGTCACTAGACAGAAGTGAATGTCTACACAGATAATGATAAAGGGACGAGGCCGTTGTACTTTTCAGATGTCCCCAGATAGAGAACTGCATTAAAATTTTCATAGGCATGGCTCTCAGTAAAGTGTGAAAGAAGCTGTGTATGCATTTCTTTATTTTTTTCTTTCTATAGCACTCTCCTTCCTTGATCTCTTTTTTTTTATTTTTTTTTTATCCTCACCAGAGGACATTTTTCCATATTTTGTTCAGATAGAGTGGGAGGGAGAGAGAGAGAGAGAAACATCGATGTGAAAGGGACACATTGAGTGGTTGCCACCCACGCAACCCAACCAGGGCAGGGGACAAACTGCAACCGAGGTACGTGCCCTTAGCGGGAACTGAACCTGGGTCTCTCTGGACCGCAGGTCGACGCCCTAACCGCTGAACCAAACTGGCCAGGGCTCCTTCCTTGATCTTTTTACAATATTCCTGAGATGACTTAGTGATGAAGTTTCTTCTAAATGTACAATAACCAAGCGGTCTCTCTCTTGGATGAATTCTCAAATGCCAAGTAAGATATTTCCTGTGGCCAAATGAGTTTCCTTAGTAGTTATATTAAAAAGATCTTTTCCCAGTACTAGTCCTCTGATGTTGACCGAGACAGGCCCACGTGCCAAAGGCCTTCCCACCTACCTTAACTCTCCGGTGCTAGTGAGGGACGAGCAGCAGCTGAAGGCTTTCCGACGTTCACTGTATTCGGAGTGCTTCTCTCCAGGGCAACGCCTCAGGTGTTAAGGGAAAGAAAAGCTGTCCCCAAAGGCTTTCCACATTATTTGCTCTCAAAGGTTTTTTTATCTCTAGTGTGGATCTTATTATGTCGGACAAAAGCGGAAAGGTAGCCTTTCCACATTCGCTGCACGCACTGGGCTTCTCTCCAATGTGACTCCTATGCGTCCAGCAAGGGAAGAGCTGTAGCAAGAACCTTCCCCACATTCTTTTTTTTTTTTTTTTTTTTTTTTTATAAATTTTTTATTTATTTTTTTGTTACAGATATTTTACCTTTTTACCCCATTGGCACCCCCCACCCCACCCCACCTCCGCCCCGTCCCCGGCTTAGTTGTCCATGTCCATTGGTCATGCATACATGCATATAAGTTCTGTGGTTTATCTCTTCCCACCCCCACCACCCCACCACCCCCTCTTCTGAGGGATGTCAGTCTGTGCCCTACTTCCATGTTTCTGGGTCTACTGTATTCCTATGACTGTTATGTTAATTATATTTCGTATATAAGTGAGATCATGTGGTATTTGTCTTTTTCTGCTTGGCTTCCTTCACTTAGGATAATACTTTCCAGGTCCCTCCATGTCATCTCAAAGGATAAGAGATCTTTCTTTCTTACCGCTGCATAGTACTCCATTGTGTATATGTACCACTGCTTTTTTATCCATTCGTCTACTGATGGACACTTGGGCTGTTTCCAGATCTTAGCTATTGTAAATAGTGCTGCTACGAACATGGGGGTACATATATTCTTCCTGATTGGTGTTTCAGGCTTCTTAGGGTATATTCCCAGCAGTGGGATCACTGGGTCAAATGGAAGTTCAATTTTTAATTTTTTGAGGTAACACCATATTGTTTTCCACAGCGGCTGCACCAGTCTGCATTCCCCCCAGCAGTGTATTAGAGTCCCCTTTTCTCCACACCCTCGCCAACACTTGTTGTTTGATGATTTGTTGATGGCGGCCATTCTGACAGGTGTGAGGTGATACCTCATTGTTGTTTTAATTTGCATCTCTCTGATGATTAGTGATGTTGAGCATTTCTTCATATGTCTTTTCTTGCCCACATTCTTTGCACTCAAAAGGCTTTTGTGCAGTGTGGGTCAAACCATGTTGGAAAAACACAGAGTGGGAGGTGAAGGTCTTTCCACATTCACTGTGCTTATAGGGCTTCTCTCCGGTGTGAATCTTCATGTGTTAAGGAAGAGTTGTAGTGAAAGGCTTTCCCACATTCTTCGTACTCAAAGGGATTTTTCTCTAGTGTGGGTCATATGATACTGGTCAAAAACAAGGTTAGTGGACGGTCTTTCCACATTCGTTGCACTCACAGGGTTCTCACTAGTGTGAATCCGCTGGTAGCACGTGACACGTGACCTATGGTTGAAGAACTTCCCATGCTCCATGCACTTATAGGGCTTCTCCATCAGTGTGAATCCACCTTGTCACGAAAGGCTTTCCCACACTCCTGGCATTCAAAGGCTTCACTCCAGTGTGAGTTGGCTGATGTGGAACAAAGAGGCAATTCTTGTTAAATACTTTCCCACATTCTTTGCAATTGCAGAGGGTCTTCCTTGCATGAATGAAGATGTCTTTACTTGGTCCCTGTGAGTCACATCCATAGAGAGTATCTCCTGCAGAGTTTTGCCTTGAGCACAGGTTATCATCTATCCCTGAATCATTGTGTTTAAGGCTTGTCTTCCTAAGGATGGTCTCCTTGTGGGAGACTGAAGCTGGCCTCAAGTTCCCTTCCTGCATTTCCAACAACCCTTCTGGATCTCTGGCTTGCCCGAAGTAGGCGGACCTTCTGGTTCTCTGAGTCAGTCTGCCCTGGAGCAAGTCTCTCTAAGACAAAACTGGTTGATCTTGGGTTTTACTTATTACCTGGAAAGGTGCTTCAGCAAAGTCCTCTTATTCCTTCTCTCTTACCTGTTCTTGGCTGGTAGATAAACTCTGGTTTGGGAACCACAAGACCCAGTGAGACTAGAAATCTGCAGGTGTTCAGCATCACTTCCCAGAACAGGGACCTCTGGGCCTGGTCCAGCTGCTCCCAGTTCTTCCAAATGAAGGTCACAGACATGCCCAACACTGCGTCTGGAATAGCGGGGCAATTTAGCAATACGTGGCCCAGGCTTCCGTCTGTGCAGAGCTTGCCCGGAGACTACAAATACCAGAAAGTACTGCGCTTGGCTGCCTCAGTTTCACTTTTTAAAAAATATCTGGGAATTGAATATTCAGTTACTCTGGAAGGAAGTTCACATGTGTGTTTGAAAGTTTACTCCAGTTGCTTGAGGGAGAACCTCTAAAAATGCACGTGATGTGCATGTGAACATGTGTGCCAGGAATTTGGTCATGCAGGTGTGGGGAGAGAAGGAGCCCATTTACCTCTTTATTTTACCCACTGACCTTCATCAAACTACCCATGGGCTGTGTGTTAAAGTCAGTCTAGTCCAACTACTGAGTGTTGGAGAAGACATGGAAATTCAGGATCTCTTTCACATTGCTGATAGTTTTGTCATTAGTAAAACCATACTGTAAAGATTTGACCTTGCCTCCTAAAAGTCTTTTCCAAAAAGAAGCCTTTCCACAATTGTGCCAGGAGACATGTACAAAAATATACACAATAGCAAACACCCAGAGGGAGGAGAGTCCAGGAAAGAGAATGGGTGAGTAGCTTCTTCACAGAATGGAACAGTATTCAGCAGCCCAGGGTACTCTAGTCCACTGCTATAGTGGGGTAATCAGAAGGATCACAATTTATGTTGCAGAATCTTCCAGAATTAAAGACCCAGCAGTGCAAAGCCCCCCTGGAGCTTGTGAGGAGGAGAGACCATCATGTGGAGGGCAGTGACAGCATTTTGAGCAGGACTCTGATCCACCGCCCTCGTCTGCCTGAGCTGAAACTGGTGATTAAACTGAAGAGAGGATTTGGGGACTAGAGAAGGAGAGGCAAATCGGAAGGTTCTGGGAAGCAGCGGGAAGAAGAGGATTGATAGTCATTGACACACTGAGTGCTGGGACCTCCATCTGTCTTTGTTCTCCCTGGCAGCTGTTTGGGATGTTGTCTGAGAATCTGACCAGCTCAAGAGGAGAGACATGATGCTGCTGATATTGCCAGATTCCTAGCAAAATGGCCTGGAAGGTTGACTTGCAGTGAAAACTTAAACTTTGTTTTATTTTTCTGTCTTCTGTTCTGGCCAGACCTCCATCTACAATGTTGATAAAGAGGTAGGGCAGAAAGTGTTCTTTTCACTTTCCTGATAATAAAAAAAAATTCTACTAATATTTTACAATTGAGAATGCATTTAGAATGGACTTCGGTTTTTGTCACCTGCTTGATCTCTATCTATCTATCTATCTATCTATCTATCTATCTATCATCTATCTATCTATCTATCTATCTATCTATCTATCTATCTATCATCTGACAGAGAAATGAAAGACCAAGCAGACACCTGGGAAAATCTGACAGATCTTCTCACCCAAAGGATTTGGTGGCACTCAGTACAGTCATGATACAGGGCAAAGAGCTCAGCTGTGTTTTCAGGGCAGTAGGACTCTCCCAGGGTGGGAAGCAGTAGAGGATGGTCATGACTTAGGCAGTTATGCAGAAGCTGGTCTGAATACGTGCTGGACAGTCTTGCTTGTCACAGGTGTCCCATTAGTCTCAGGATGCTACACATTTTAGACAAAATTCTCTCTAGCAGTGGTTCTCTAAGTATGGCCCTTGGTCTCAGATGTATTCACTTTTATTTAAGAGTTCAAGAAAGGCTGATCACTATATAATGGCACTGTAACTATGATAATGTGGGTAATTACATAATGAATTAGCTGTGCTTCTTGGAAAAGCCTAATTTTTTCTTAAATGAATTTGTCTTTTAGTGTATGGTTTTAATGATATATAGATGTTGCCAAAATGATGAACATTTTCAATCATTTAAACTATCAGTAGCAATGCTTTTAAGTAACCTGAATAGCTCAGCTGGAAGTTGGCATAATTTAGGTCATATCAATAGCTACTTTATACTCAGAGTCTGCTCTCTGGGAGTTCTTAGGAGGCTTCTTACAAGGGCTCCTGTGTCAGCCTGGACTACTGCAGATGATTAAACGATTGTGAGTGTAGACTGTCACTTGCAATTTTTGGTCCTTGGACATACTCATGGGCAGAATGTCTAACACTATTCTTCCACCTTCCTTGAGCTTTGTAGTCCAAGTGTGACCATAGACTTTTCCTCTAATATAAGATCAGCCTGTGAATTTAACAAGAATTTGCTGGTGCCTGGGGCTTGCAGAGGGACTTTCACACGGAATAATTTACCACTGGCTGTGAGATATGGGTGATCAGAGAGCCCTCAGTTCCCAGTCTGTCCTCCTGGGAACTCAGCAGGGCTGCATTTCTGTTCAGAGCCCATTCTTCCCCCTTGAGAAAGAGACCAGGTTTCCTCTACCACCGGAAATACCTTAAACATGCCTCAGTCTCCCAAGCCTAGGCCTAGGTCAAGGTTCAGAAAGAGGACCCATCTCAGACCTAGCTGCCCCATTTTTTTGTCCCCATCTTTTACCTTTACAGATGATTGATTGGTGTAGTATCTACTTCTTTTAGTGGAGACTCCACCATCATTCACTCAGTAGTGGCCTTACCTTATGTCTCCAACAGTATATCCCTTTAGGATACAATAGAACAACATTTCTACATAATAATACATATTTACTATTATGGCTTGAAATGCATCTCCCCCCAAATATGTTGAGGTCCTAACCTCCAGTACCTGTAAATATGATTATATTTGGAAATATTGTCTTTGTAGATGATCAAGTTATAATGAGGTATAAGGTGAGCCCTAGTCTAGTATGACTATGTCCTTAAAAAAGAAAGTTTCAGAAGAAGAAAAAAAAAAAAAGAAAGCTTCTTTCACTAAAAAGAATGATTATGCTGGGAAAGAATGATATTTTCCAAAATAATAATAATAATAATGATAATAATAATATTTTCAACAAATGGTGCTGAGACAACTGAATCCACATGCAAAGAAAGGTGGATTCTTACTTTATTTATTTTTAAAATATATTTCTTTATTGATTTTAGAGAGAGAGGAAGGAAGAGGGAAAGAGAGATAGAAACATCAATGAGAGAGAATATTGATTGGCTGCCTCCTGCATGCCCCCCACTGGGGATCTGGCCCACAACCTGGGCACGTGCCCTGACTGGGAATCGAACCCGTGACCTCTTGGTGATTGAGTCGACGCTCAACCAGTGAGCCACACTAGCCGGGCGGTGGATTGTTACTTTAAACTAGACACAAAAATTAACTCAAAATGGTTCATAAACCCAAATGTAAAAGCTAAATTTATAAAACTCTTAGAAGAAAATGTGGGAGTAAATTTCTTGGGTTAGGTAATCATTTTTTAGATATGGCACTAAAAGCATGAGCAACAAAAGGAGAAATAGATAATTTTGGCTTCATTAAAATTTAAAAAATTTGGCCCTGGCCGGTTTTGCTCAGTGGTTAGAGCGTCAGCCTGTGGTCTAGAGAGACCCGGGTTCGGTTTCCGCAAAGGGCACGTACCTCGGTTGCAGTTTGTCCCCGGCCCTGGTTGGGTCGTGTGGGTGGCAGCCAGTCGATGTGTCCCTTTCACGTCAATGTTTCTCTCTTTCTCTCTCTTCCTCTCTCTCCCTCCCGCTCTGTCTGAATAAAAAATGGAAAAATGTCCTCGGTGAGGATAAAAAAAAAAAGAAAAATTTGTGCTTCAAAAGATACCACTGATAAAGTAAAAAACAACCCACAAAATAGGGGAAAATATTTATAAATTATATATTTAAAAAAGGATTTGTATCTAGAATATATAAATAAATCTTACACGTCAACAATCAAAATACAAAAAGCCCAATTAAAATTGGCAATAGATTTGAATGGGTATTTCTACATAAAGGATATACAGATAGCCAATGGCACATGAAAAGTTGCTCAATGTTATTAGCCATTAGGGAAGTGAGAATGAACCCACAATGATCTTACTTCACACCCACTGAGATGACTATAATGAAAAAGAAAATAGCAAGTATTGGTGAGACTGTGGAGAAACTGGAACCTCATCACTGGTGGGAATGTGAAATGGTTCAGTCATTTTGGAAAGCATTCTGGTAGTGCCTCAAAAATTTAAAGATGAAGTTACCATAGAGCCCACAACTTTTATTTCTAGGTAGATACCCAAAAGAAACGTAAAATTATGTTCACACAAAAATCTGTACATGAATGTTTATAACAGCATGATTCATAATAGAAAAAAGGGAAAACAACCCAAATGTCCATTAATTTTTATTTATTTATTTATTTATTTATTTATTTATTTATTTATTTATTTTTCTGTATTGATTTTAGAGAGAGAGGAAGGGAGATGGAGAGAGAGATAGAAACATCAATGAGAGAGAATATTGATTGGCCGCCATTTGATTCCTGGTCAGGGCCCCCTGGTGTGGGCCCGATCCCCAGTGGGATGCAGAAGGTGGTCCCCCATAGGGGATGGGGCCCACAACCTGCACATGTGCCCTGACTGGGAATCAAACCAGCGATCTCTTGGTGCATGGGTCAACACTCAACAACTGAGCCACACTGGCCAGGCTATTTAATATTTTTTTAATCCTCACCTGAAGATATTTTTCCTTTGATTTTCAGATACAGTGAGAGGGAGGGAGGGAGAGAGGGAGAGAGAAACATTGATATGAGAGAGACACATTGATTGGTTGCCTCCTACAGGAACTCAACCAGGGCTGGGATCGAACTGCAACCAAGGTATGTGTCCTTGACTGGAATCAAACCCTCGACTCTTTGGTCTGCGGGCTGATGCTCTAACTGCTGAGCAAAACCAACCAGGGCTGTTCATCAACTTTTAAAAGAATAAACAAAATGTGATATATTAGTAGGGTGGAATATTATTCAGCCACAAGGAGTGACCTATTGATACATGCCACAGTATGATGAACCTTAAAACATTATGTGAAAGAAGCCAGGTACAAAAGGACCATGTGATTTCATCTATATGAATCGTCTAGAATAGGTCAATTTATAGAGACAGAAAGTAGGATGGGGGTTGGGAGGAAAGGATGGTGATTGACTGCTAGTGGGTATAGAGTTTCTTTTGGGGGTGAGGAATCTGTTATAAAATTAGATTGTAGTGATGGTTGTACAACTCCATGAATATGCTAAAAGCCATTGAATTGTATACTTTAAATGGGTAAATTTTGTGTATGGGAACTATGTCTCAAATTATTTTAAAAGAACCATATTCAAATGTTCTAAAAACATTTCATTTCAGGCATATAGACAATAATATAATGACCACCCATATACTTAGCATGCAGCTTAATAAAGAAAATCCTACAGATGTAATGAAAGCCTCTTATGTATTTCTTCTTGATTCAATTAACCTTATGCCACCTCTGGAAGAAACTATGTTGTTTACTAGAGGCGAACTTGACATTTATCATTTCTTGAGTGTTTTATACATTTGCTACATTTATATTTATATGTGCATATATACAAAAACATGTTTATTCATAAACATTATATAATATTTATATTCATATAGTAACCCTTTGATTTGTAATGTTTCCGGAGGCTGGTTTGTTCAGTTTTGAATAACACGTGGTGTGGGATAATGCACAGTGTGGTCCAGGCTGTGTTTCCTGTGAGGATCTTCCAGACGCCACAGGGAGGTGCAGGTCATTCTGCCCAAGCCACAGGGGCACACAGGAAATTTAGCTGCTTGGACCCACAGCTGCACTGTCACCTCTACTTCTCTGTGGTCTCCACTTCTTTTAGGAGGTGTTTCAATATGGTTAACTAGTGAGCTCTGTGTGTCACCTGTCCTGAAAGTGTGCATTATATTTTCTAGATCTATCCTGTTGCCAGTGAGTAGAAACAAAATGTCCCCATCACTATGTCTTAGCTGAATCTGGTTCCCACGTCCAGCTATAGAGCAGTGAAAAATCCCAGTTCTGTCACTGAGATGACCTGGAGCAGGTCATTTCTACCTGGGAGGTCCCTGAGCATGGCAGGGTGCCTTTGGACATTTTTCCCCACTCAGCAGTAGGTCCTTCCTGGGTTCATCTGTGCTGATCGGCCTAGAGCCTTCTCCAAAGTTATCTTATACAAACGCTCAGAGAGATTCTCCCTCACAGGAATTAGAGGAGGAGGAAGAGAACTTCCCATATGAGCACATTCAGGGTCCTATCGTGGAGCCGTACCCTCTTTCCCC